AATAATCCAAGAGGAAAAAACTCACAGGCACTCCAACTTCAAGCCGCAGGCAGATTTATTATGACAGAATGCAATGCAACGTTTCGACCGGAAAGGTCTGCTTGAAAAAGACCTTTCCGGTCGAAACATTGCGTTGCATTCTGTCATAATAAATCTGCCTGCGGCTTGAAGTTGGAGTGCCTGTGAGTTTTTTCCTCTTGTAATATAACAGTTGAGTCTAAAAAGGAGTGTCAACAAGACTTGTGAATCATTTTTTTTTCTAACCAGTTATCGTATTGTTCATATTTGTGAGGTGAATTCAGGGACAAGTCATATATATCTCTTTCCATTCTAAGTTGATATGTAAGTTGATCTATTAGAAGTTTTCTATGGAAAGAGAGGTTTGATTTCCATTGACTAGCTCTTGTAATTTTAGTAGCTAATAAACAGTGCATAGCTATATACTTTAACAATGTGGATGTTAGGTCCCAATTCAGATGTAATAAAGCCACATCAGGTTTCCATTTAAGATCTAACCAATTTACACTAACAGACACACACACACACACACACACACACACACTAACAGACACACAAACTAACAGACACACACTAACACACTCACACTCACTAACAGACACACTCACACTCACTAAAAGACACGCACACAATAACAGACACACACACACACTAACAGACACACTCACTAACAGACACACACACACACTAACAGACACTAACAGACATACACACACACTCACTCACTTACATTAACACTTTTTTTTTTTTTTAACCCCCCCAGCCTCCTTACCTTTGGGAATGCTGGGGGAGGTCCCCACTCTCCCAGGGGGTCCAGTGGCTGCTGGGCGGGCGGCGATGGCGGGCGGCTGGCGAGGGAGCACTTCCTCTGAGCTGTCTGCTCAGCTCCCTGGTGCTCCGCAGAGTGATGCCGGGTACCGGAATATGATGTCATATTCTGGCTCCCAGCCTCACTCTGCGGCGCGCGAGGGAGCTGAGAAAACAGCTCAGAGGAAGTGCTCCCTCGCCAGTGCCGCCCGCCCGCCCGACCGGCATGTCAGTTAGCCGCAAGGCTAAGAAGACATTTGCCCTGGACATTTGGGGGCGGCCTTTTTTGGCAAATGCCTTGTTTGCCTCGAGGCTAAAACGTCGCTGACTGTGGATCCAACCCTCAAATCCAAACTAATTTATAACTAGATCTAGAAAACTCCAGCTCACACTGTCAAATGCTTTTTCGGCATCCAAAGACGGTCAGTAATGGAGTCTGCAGATTTTCTAAATGTTCCAACACATGCAAGATTCTCCTAGTACAACTGTCAGAAGATCTTGGGATAAAACTGACTTGGTCGGGATGGATGATTTTATCGATAATCAGTTTTAATCTGGATGCTAAAAGAGATGTTTATATTTTCATATTGACGTTAAAGAAATGAGTCTGTAATTGCTAACATCGGTTTAAATTTTATTTGGTTTCAGAATATGGAGAAGGTTGGCTTGTAGTAATTCCTTTGGGGTTTTATAACTACTTGCTATCTCGTTGTAAAGAGCAGTTAATGGATAAACAATTTCCTTTTTAATAATTTTATAAAAAATAATTACTGTATCCATCCGGGTCAGGAGTTTTAAATGTATTAATTTGTGTATTTCTTTCTCTACTTCTTCTGGTTTAAATTATTGAGCGCATTAAGATCTGAGATAGAGATTTTTGGAATATTAGTATCAGTCAAATAGCCAATTATTTTCTCTTTTTCAGGATATAGACCAAGATTATATAAATTACTGTAAAAGTCGTTACAGTTTTGGCCAATTTTTTCGGGGGTAGAATATATATTTTGGTTATCAGTTTGTTTATCCTATTTTTCATAGTTTAAGTTTTTTTGTTAAATTTTTACTTGCTCTATTTTCCTAATAATAGTTGTTTAATCTCAGTTTATTTAAAAGTTTTTTTTTTATCTTTTCTTTTGTTTTAAGGTTAATTTTATTTTGCAGTTCGGATAACTTTATCATGTTTTGTTTAGAAGGTTGGTTTTTATTTGAATTTGAGAGATTAAAATATAACTAGCAAAACTACAATTTCTTGCCTCCACCAGTAGTCTGGAACTGGAGTGGGTAGAGTAACTGGGTGGAGTGGCTTGAGTAACTGTTGTGTGGTTGGACTGGGCAGAGTAACTGTGGAAAGGTTGGAATGAGTAAAGATAGTAAACATAACACTAACCAATTGATTGATCAAATTTAAAAAGTGCACATGGCAAGCTTGATAGAGTGAGAAATGCATTTCAACTTTTATTTATTTATATAGCACATTTAATTGCAACATTGTTGCCCAAAGTGCTTCACAGTTACATTAAAACATACATTTATAAAAACATTAGCAGGTGTACAAAAGGCCCTGCCTATGACATTACTTGCTGCTCCAGCCTGGCACAGGTCAGAGTATTTTGGCGGTTGCCATCTTCAAACGGCCTTATTCTAAAACCTACAGCGAAGAGCTTTATAATGTGAGAATCACAAGACCCAGACTTACATTTTGATGCATAGTATGTCTCTGAAGTATTCAAATTGAAGGCACAGTCGCAGTTTAGAAATTGCCCTTCAAGTTTGAGCTGGCTAGAGTGGAGTTTCAATGAATGTCAATGGACAGCGTGAGTTGCAAACAAATGGTCATAGTGTGAAAACTATCAGGACTATGGCTTAGCCGTGTACATTTTTAGTGGCAGCAGGGATAGCTGAACGTTTTGATATAAGCTTTGTGTAGGTGGGCTTGAAAATGAGGGAGTGGTGGCAGTTTAGAAATTATGTCCTGATTTTTCAGCTTTTGCCAGCTCCCACTCTAGTTTTGAACATTTTGCCATTCATTCCTATGGAACCAATTTCGCCACAAGAATGACGATATTCCGTGAACCATTTGGCGAAACGTTCTACAAAGTAATAGCAATCCAATCGGGAACAATCTGCACGTTTTGGTATGTTACTGTCTATGTAGTGTAAAAACTGTGGGAGGAGTTAGGGTGGTAAATTTGGCTATAATAAGAATAAGAATAAGAATAAGAATAATATGTATGTGAGATAACATTAAGTGGTCTTGCTATGCAGTTAAAATAACCCCTCATTACTATATTACACGTGGCCCATAAAGTGGAATCCCTAATGTCTGGCTTTCACCTCTCTATCCAAATATCCAAACAGCAACCCACATATATTTTCTAGTAAAAATTATCCTCATATGAATGTGTTATAGTGTTCATACATTTTGTATTAAACCTTAATATACCAATTAGTGAAATTATTCAATATCAACAATCTTATTTGCAAATTCATAACATGTGATGCCCCATAAACATGTAGAAACCTAAAGGCGCCACAAAAAAAAAAAAAAATTAGTAAACAAATAGTTTTCTTCTTATTTTCTTCCCTTCTTCTATCCATCCATATTCACATTTGTAAGATCCTTGGAAATTTGTAGGTATTCCTCAATTTGTTGGTTATCAATATATACCCACATTGATAGACCAGCAATAATACATGGGGGGGTGGAAAGTAGTAAAAAAAAAAAAAAAAAAGGTCTTTACAGTTTAATTATCTTCTATATCCTCCAAAGTGCATGTTTTATTAAA